GGGTGTGTGTGTGTGTGTGTGTGTGTGTGTGTGTGTGTGTGTGTGTGTGTGTGTTGGGGAGAAGCTTTGCTCTGTTCTTGCTCTTTTTGGTTCAGAAACGAGGCCAGCTTCCCTTGAGGTGTTTTGCTTGCTGTCCTACAGGCAGTTTTAGGGGCCCTAGAATTTTCTCAGAATCAAAATATGTGCCCATAGGTTAGTCAGCTATGACCATGCAGTATTCCCAGCCTCCCTCCTCCCCCCTTCCCCGGCCATCTGCTTCCTCTGAATATACCAGATTGGCTGTACACCAGGATGTTCCGGGAATCCCCAGGAGAGCAACAGAATGTGATGGACCCAAATACGATGCCTCAGTAACTCATTCCAGGATGTACAAACTGTAACTGTCAGGACACTCCTTATAGCTAATTAAAAATTTCCTAGTTTCATCTATTTTCTATTACCTCAGTCTATTTTCAGTGACATCCAAAAGGCCAAAATAATCCCTCTGGTACCACTTTTTTTTCTTCTCCCTATGGTTCCCATTAAATTAAAAAAAATTCTCTAGCTTTTCTCAATTCGTTATTTGTGATGCTAAAATGGGAAACGTGACCCCTCTAGCACTTCATAGCTCTATCTGTGGTACTGAGGTGGCCAAAGTGGCTTCTCTGGTAGCCCACTGCTCTCTCCATGGTACTGAAGAAGTGACCATATGTTTTAACATCTCTAGGGTCCAGAAGAGTCTTGGACTTAGAACTATGACACTTTCGAGCTGGAAAATATCAATATTGTGAATTAGTCTAACACCCTTATTTTACAGATGTGTATACTGAAAGGTTAAGTGATTGACTGAAAGTTGTGGGGCAAGTAATGTTCAGACTGGGGTTATTATTCTAGTTCACCTTTCATGAAATAGTGAACCTGGCTAGGCTCTTGGCTCTAGGAAGGGGGTTTATCTGGAGGATCCAGATGGTAAGAGGATCCCTGAATTTGGAGCTACAGAAATGCACATGTCATAGCAGTAGTGGTGGCTGTCTAGTGGCCCTCAGACAATTAATCTCCCAAAGCCCAGATTCTCCATGTTAACAGGTACTTTCCCCTTCATGGAGTCTTACCACATTTACTAAATGTTCAAAATAAGGCAGCTTTGAATCTCCAGAGCCCTTTCTCTGCTAAGAGGGCAGATTCCTGGCCCAGTTCTCTTCTCTTAAAGATCTGTAAGCAAAAAACAAAACAAAACAAAAAAACCGCTTGAGTCCTTTTCTTTCTTGGTAACTCATTTTGGTTTCATAATGCCTGTTGTAGAAAGTTCTTTATATTTCAAATATCCTATCACAGGCAGGGGTGGGCGTCACTGGGCCTACATTCATCCAGCCTTGACCATATACAATGCTGCAGGGGTGAAGGAAGGTAGACTGGTAGACTGGATGACTTCTCCCATCTTCCCAGGCCTGTTTCCATTCATTCTAATTCTGGGATAGTTTCTAAGTCCAAAAGCTGACCTCTGCTGCTTAGAATTGGGCCCCTGCCCCCCATCCTCTTCCTCTCTGTGCACTTCTTCCTTACCTCTGGAGCTCTGCACCATCTCAGGCCTAGGGAATTTTAGCTGGAGAATTTAACCCCTTCCTGTTCAGAGCATGTGCCGAGCCCTATCTGTGCAGATGGCGCGGCCCCGCCCCCCATCCCTCACTCCAGCCTCTTGAGCTCAGAGCCAGTGTAATCCTCCTCTTGTGTGAGGAAGCCTCTCCCCTGCAGAGAGGAGGAAAGCCTGCTTCGGAACAGCTCTGGACAAAGGGGCTGAGATGCCCCATCAAACTGCAGGCTCCAAGGTTTGAAATGGGAAGAATCCTAGATGGTATTTGCAGTTTTTAACCCTTCCCTCAGGCTGGCAGTGCCCCTTAACTTCCACTCCTCCCCCAACTCTCCTTTCCTTCTCTGGCTGTCTCCCCCTCCATGCCCCTCCCCCTCTGTCTGTCTCCAGACTCTGCTGCTGGGAGGTGTTTCTCTCCCATGCATGAATGAGTCTCTGTAATGAATGGAAATGAATGGATCAGGAATCCAGGCAGAGAGGGAGGGAGAGTGAGGGGGAAAGACCAAAAGGGTAAGGACAGAAGCAAGGACCAGGGAACCTGGAAGGATGTTTGGCTGGTTGGTCAGTTAAGGGTCTGAGAGTGACTGGTCCCACCTGGATAACTGGGGGGCATGGCAAGCCCTTCTCAGGTACTGATCAAGGTGCAGAGCTCCACCCACATGGAAGAGAGGTATACTGTGATACTGCCCCCACCACCAGGTGGTAAGGTGGTGGTGGTGGTCTGGACCAGGCCTTTAAAATGTATAATTAGGGGGAAGAAATTTGGATCATCAGGAAAGCTTTTGGGCCTGGCAAATCAAGGGGTGCTATTTTTGAGGTCAGCGGCACCCTTGTGCCTTAGGATGCCAATAGGAAAAGAGGTTTCAGGAATACAGGGTGCTAAGAGCCTGGAACTGAGGGTGACTCTTACCCTTGCTGAAAATCAGGGCTTATTTTTCTTCCAAAACTCTCTCGTCTTAGCTCCTCAACACCTGTTGCCTTCACTAGCAGCTTTTCCTCCTCGTCCCTGCACTCCCCAGAACCAAAGAATGTGAAGGGGGTCCATGGAGGTGAGTGAAATTCTGGCCTGAACCCACAAATACCTACCGAACACCTACCACGGTACTCCCTTCCCTGCCCACCTCTGTTTTTACCACCTATTGGAAACTGTCTCCTTGGCCCCAACAGCCAGTCCCCACCCATTCCCCACCTTCCAGAGGTGAGTGGCACCAGCTGTTCTGGATCAGGCCCCAACCCTTCTTCCCTAGTATTCTGGCCTTTGATGCCTTTGCTAACTCACAGATCACCATTCTCCAGCCTTTGCTCTATGCTCATCTTTTTTCACAGGGCTCACGTCCCCGTGTCCCCAGCGGCCACTTAGCGCCATCACCACCTGCCTTCGACGGCGAACTGGATTTGCAGCGCTACTCCAACGGGCCAGGCGTGAGCGCGGGGTCGCCCGGGATGGGAGCGGTGGGCTGGTCTGAGAGCCGTGTAGGCGATCGACGTTTCCCCTGCCCCGTGTGCGGGAAGCGCTTCCGATTCAACTCCATTCTGGCCTTGCACCTGCGAGCGCACCCCGGTGCCCAGGCCTTCCAGTGTCCACACTGCGGCCACCGCGCGGCGCAGCGGGCTCTGCTGCGCTCGCACCTGAGAACGCACCAGCCGGAGCGACCCCGGAGCCCCGCGGCGCGCCTGTTGCTGGAGTTGGAGGAGCGTGCCCTACTGCGCGAGGCCAGACTGGGGCGAGCGCGAACCTCTGGCGGCATGCAGGCCACCCCAGCCGCTGAGGGCCTCGCACGGCCTCAGGTTCCTTCATCGTCGTCTGCCTTCCGTTGCCCCTACTGCAAAGGCAAGTTTCGCACCTCCGCGGAGCGTGAACGCCACCTGCACATCCTGCACAGACCCTGGAAGTGCAGCCTGTGCAGTTTCGGCTCCAGCCAGGAAGAGGAGCTGCTGCACCACAGCCTGACCGTACATGGGGCTTCTGAGCGCCCCCTGGCGGCCACCTCCGCGGCACCTCAGCCTCAGCCTGCACCACAACCTGAACCCAGATCGGTTCCCGAGCCAGAACCTGAGCCACAGGAACGTGAGGCTACCCCTGCCCCGGCTCCTGCAGTTCCAGAGGAGCCCCCTGCGCCTCCGGAGTTCCGTTGCCAAGTGTGTGGCCAGAGCTTTACACAGTCCTGGTTTCTCAAGGGCCACATGCGCAAACACAAGGCCTCCTTCGATCATGCGTGTCCTGTGTGCGGCCGCTGCTTCAAGGAGCCCTGGTTCCTTAAGAACCACATGAAGGTGCACGCCAGCAAGCTGGGCCCTCTGCGTGCCCCAGGGCCTGGCTCAGGGCCTGCCCGGGCCCCCCAGCCTCCTGACCTGGGTCTGCTGGCCTATGAGCCACTGGGCCCTGCACTCCTCTTGGCCCCGGCGCCCACTGCAGCTGAGCGCCGTGAGCCTGCGAGCCTCTTGGGCTACCTGAGCCTCCGAGCTGGCGAAGCCCGGCCTAATGGTGAGGGTGCTGAGCCTGGGGCTGGCCGCAGCTTTGGAGGCTTCCGCCCGCTGCCCTCCACTCTCCCTGCCCGAGCTCGCCGGCACCGTGCAGAGGAGCCAGAAGAGGAGGAGGAGGCGGCGGCAGTGGAGGCTGAGGAGGAGAGCTGGACCCGGGGCAGATCACTGGGCCCTCTGGCTTCCCTGCACCCGCGCCCGGGTGAGGGCCCAGGGCACTCAGCACCTGCCGTTGGGACCCAGGCAAGATCCACGGCCACGCAGGGTATGTAAGGCCTCTCCTTTCTTGGGTTTCCTGAGTCACATCCTCTCTGACTCTACAGCCACCTCCTATGGGTTCCTTTTAAAAAGAACCCCTCAACCCCCTGCCACCCCTGGAGGCTTTGCCACCTTCTGAGGGCACTAGCTCTTAACTCCCAAGATATCCAGTTCCTCGGGTCCCTGTAAACGGGCTTGTGAGGTGGATGTGGGAGCATGTGACTCGGATAGGGCAGAAGGACCCCCTGTAACTTTCTCTCAAACTGTCTATTTCAGAAGAAAATGGCCTGTTGGTTGGAGGGGCCCGGCCTGAAGGGGGCCGGGGTGCCACTGGCAAGGATTGTCCCTTCTGTGGAAAATCTTTCCGCTCAGCGCATCACCTCAAAGTACACCTGCGAGTACACACAGGTGAGGGAGGTGGGCTCCTGCACGGGGAGGGGCTGGAGGGAGGTTTGGCAGCTTTCAGATTGGCCAAATGAGATCAGCTGGGAAGTGTTCATTTATTAAGTCAGAGTCATTGGGAGAGGCAGTGTTTCGTTCCTGATCTGAGGATGAAGTCTGTAAAGTGAGCCAGATGTGAGTGGGGGTATGCAGCGATTGTGATCCCACGATGTTATTTCACTCTTCCTCCCCAGGTGAGCGCCCCTACAAGTGTCCACATTGTGACTACGCGGGCACCCAGTCTGGCTCACTTAAGTATCACCTGCAGCGTCACCACCGTGAGCAGAGGAGCGGTGCAGGTCCGGGACCACCCCCTGAGCCACCACCCCCTTCCCAGCAGGGTTCAGCCCCGCTGTCCAGAGCTAAGCCAGCTCAGCAGCCTGCTACTTGGGTGGAGGGTACTGCAAGCCCCCGGCCCGCCAGCAGTACTGGCCCCGGCTCCCGTCGGAAGCCTGCTAGCCCTGGGAGGACCCTGCGCAATGGGCGAGGTGGTGAGGCTGAACCCCTGGACCTGTCCCTACGGGCAGGGCCAGGAGGTGAGGCTGGGCCAGGGGGTGCCCTCCACCGCTGCCTCTTCTGCCCCTTTGCCACTGGAGCCCCCGAGCTCATGGCTTTGCACCTGCAAGTGCACCACAGCCGCCGGGCTCGGGGTCGCCGGCAGCCCCAGGCTGATGCATCTCCCCCCTATACCCGAGCACCATCAGGAGAGACCCCTCCCAGTCCTCCTCTGGAAGGCGAGGAGGGCCCTGGGCTAAGATCGGGAGAGGCAGGACTAGGGGGGCAGGAGCGGTAGGGAGCCCTCTTAGGGGTGATTAGCTTAGTGAGCTTTCCCCACTGGAGCGGGGAAGCGCTAGAGGTAGTTGGGTAGAGCAGCCAGCAGGGGGCAGCGTGGGACCCACATCCCAGCCCCAGGCCGACCAGAGGTGGAGGGGCAGCGGGCGAAAGAGGGTGGGCAGGCGGTGCCCACCCAGCCCAGGGGAGTCACAGTGCCTTAGAAGTGGCAGAGGTGAGGGTCAAAGAACGGGGTCCCAGGGCTGGCAGAGGCTTGTGTCCCTGTTGAGGAACCACTCTGCCAGTTTTTGCTGGTCCATAGGCCTGAGAGTTTATTTTTGTACAAGGGGTGGGGGTGGGGGGCACTGTACCCTTCTAGCCCCATCGGGGGCCCTGTAGACATTGCTATTTTTGGTACGATTCCTGTCATCCCTGTTGCAGAGTCGTGTCCCCAATAAACAGGTGTCTTGAGGCACAGGGCTCTGTGTCTGTCTCTGTCTGCCTATGTCTTACTCCCTTACTCGGTCTCTTTCATCCAGGAAACTGTCACTTTTTCAAGTACTTAGGCTTGATAAGGGCTTGATATGAAACAAAATCTTGAGTCCAAGGCTTCACATTTGGTACTTCTGGGTGGAGCCTAAACATTAACATTTAACAAGTAGCCTAGGGAGTTCTCCTGCACTGTGGGCCTGAGCACCTCATTAGGGAACTGCTGGACCCCAGTTTGTCTGTGACCAGCTCAGCCTTCAGAAGTGGGTGCAGTATGGGAAGAGGAACTTCAGAGTTCACTGAGCCACTGTGGAGGAGCACATTCGCCTAGGCTCATGCACAGTTAGCTTTGGGCCAGTAAGGGGTGGAGAGTACCTTTCAGCCTCGGTTTTATTTCCTGTGTTCTACTTAATGGTTGGTTGAGGGGAAGTGCTCAAGTTAGTCAAAACACCTTAATCCAGAGGACGGCTTTGGCTCCTGGGAGGCAAAGTGTAAGTACATTTAATATAATAATAGTATTATAATAACAGTAATTACATATATAAGTCTGCAGTTCCGGCCCCCCTCTAGCATTATGGTTTGCATAATTCCCTTTCTTGTGACACCACAGGATGGAGTCACCAGGAGCTCCTGTTGACCTGGAAGAGACTGTCTTCTCTGGGAGAGTCCGGAGGAGAAGAGGAAACAGGCTGTCAGTGCAGCAGTGCCCTGGGGGTGTGCAGTGGCCCAGGATGGGGAAGGACTGGAAGAGGGGTAATTTCCCACCTCCAGGGTATGAAGGGAAGCAGGTGGCCACGCTGGCTCCTGCAGAAGGCACCAAGCAGGGGAAGAGCTAGAGATAGCAGTAGCAGGGGGATGCTCTGATCCTTAGCCCTCCTCCCTGTCCAGAAAGCAGAGGGAGGGAATTGTCCTCTCCTAGTCCTCCATTATGTGCCACTGCCATCCTAGCCCAAAATGTGCTGAGGTAGGGGCTGCAGCCAAGTTCTGGATCTGCTCTAGAAGCCAGGAGAAAAGAAGGAGATGGAATGAAAGAGGGAAGAAGCTGTTTCTCAAGCTGCTGAGGTTAGGAAGGACAATACTTGGAGGAGTGAGGCATTCGGGACATGGTGGAAAGGGATGCTGACTCACCTAGGTCACAGAGGCGTGGTGGGGTCACTCAGGGCTCGGGCGTGACTCTGAGGGCAGAGAAACTGCAGTGAATTTAGACACATTCCCTGTCTCCTAAGCCTGCCCTGTTAAAGATTCTCACTTCTGAGCTTGATGCCTTTTTGCTAGGACTGGGGGAGAGAAAAGCATACTGAACAAGAAATCCAACCTGTAGCCTTAGCTGGGAGCACAAGACTACTGGTTCCCTTTGCCCCTCAATGGGCTGCATGAAGAGAAAAGCCCACCCAGAAAGTGACCAGAGATCACCCATCCTTAGCCTTACTGCAGAGACTTACCTGCCAGGATAGCCCTAAGATCCCGCCACTGGCCAGGGTGGGAGTGCTGCTCCCAGGGTGGGGGGGTTGCACGCTGGGGCTGTTTCTTGGTCCTGGGGACACATCTCCAGAAGAGTCAAGTGTTTCTGGGGCTAGTGGGGGGAAGATTGGGTGAGAGCAGGGTATAAAACTACTCCAGGTTACCTTAAGCAACCAAGCTGCTCTGTCAGGGAAGAAAAAGCTCCATAGCAACAGGAAGCTGTGAGTCACCATAGCAATCCAGTTGCAAGAGAACCCCCCTACCAAGAGGCAGGAAATTGTCAGCAGCATCATTACAGCAACCAGGGAAGAAGCGACAGGAGACTAAGGATTGCCATGGTGAACCAGGAGGGTACAACAGGAAGCTGAGGTAGTTTCCATAGAAACCCAAGGAGCGGTAGAGAGGTACAGAGGAAGTACTTCTTAGCAACAAGCTGCTGTAAGCATCACCTTAGCAACCAGATGAAAGCCTCTTTTAGCAATGGGGAAGCTGTACATAGTTGTCATGACAACTGGGCTACTTGGCTAGAAAAAGGAATTGCTTAGCAGCAGGCAGCCTGAATATCATGATGACCCAGCTGTTGGGAGCCACCCTTTGAGAGGTGCCTCACCCAGGGAAATTTGCTTGACGTCCAGATCCCAGGCCTCCTCCTCGACGCGGGCAGGCAGGGAGCAGGCTCCCGGTGAGAGGCCGGGAAGGGAAGGGCCGGCATGCTCAAAGGATGACACGGCCACGGAGGCCCGGGTGCGGGCAGCTGCAGAAAGTGGGGGTGTGGGGATGGGGGTGGGGGTGGTGTGCTGGTATGGGAAAGCCGGCCTGGCTCCTTGGAACAACTCAGTCTCATAGAGGGACCCCAGTTAGTCCCATGGGTGGCAGAAGAGATATCCATTCACTACCCTTCCTGACTCCCACCAGGCCTCCCCATTGCTTGCACTGTTAGTAAAGGTGTAACTTCTGGGGGTTCCCCCAGCACTCTGGCCCTCACCTCTCCCGGTAAGCAGGGCACTCAGTGTCCGCTCCCCAAGGGCTTTGATGTCCAGGAAGGGTTTATTCCCAATGCCCATAGACACCATCTGCTGCACTCGGAGCTCTAGGGAACAGACACCCTGTTAGCAACCTCTTCCTGCTGTTCCTCAGCTCCACTCTGGCACATCATGGCTGACTCTTAGTTTTCCTCTTTTCACCTGATTTCTCCCTCTCATTTCTCTGGTATCTGGTTCCTCTTTCCGTTGACTATCATGACATGGATGGTGATAGTAGTCTGACTTCCTCAGATTTATGTTGTATTCTGCCCATTTATCATCCTGGCCACCTGACTTTTCTTCTAATGTTCAGCTTCTCTTTATCCTGGGCATTATGAAAAAACCTCACATTTTTACATTTTGTTATAGTTTGCGAAGTGTTTCCATGTAGTCTGTCTTAATTTTCCCTGTTACACTAAAGTGAAGATAGTATTTAATTTTTCTAAGGAATAGACTTAAATTCAAAGATTTAAAAAATAAAAAAAACTGAACTAAAATCCAAATCAACCGAACAACAAACTACTTCAGATCACACAGCAAGTGGCACCTGTTCTCACTCCCAAATCCAGTGAGCAGTTTCTTTGGCCCAGCCATTTGCTCTTCTTGCTTTCCTGAAATTTGTTAGCTTTCTCTTTCCTTTTGGTACACCTTAGACTAATTAATTAATCTTTCTTTCTTTCTTTCTTTTCTTCCTTCCTTTCCCTCTCTCTTTCTTTCTTTCTTTCTCTTTCTCTCTCTTTCTTTTTTCCTTTCCTTTCTTTTGTTGAGACAGGGTCTCACTATGTAGTTCAGGCTGGCCTTGAACTCACTATGTAGCCTAGGCTGGCTTCGAACTTGTGGTGATCCTGCCTCAGCTTCCTGAGTGCTGGCATTACAGGTGTGTGCCAACATGACTGGCAACCTTAGATTAATCTCAAAACTCGGCAATCTCCCTGAAGCCAGATCTTGAATCTTCTCTTAACTCATTCCTCTTTCTTCATCCTACAGTTTTCCCAAGAACCCCCGTATTCTCCAGAATGCCTCCTGCCACACTCTGTCTCGGTTCTTCCCAGTACCCTTGTTGTGGGCTGCCTGTCTCCACAGCAGCTGGGCAATGGAACTTGTCCACTTGAGTTTGATCTCTGCTGAGGTTGCCTGCAAAGTATATGCCTCTCGTGCACGCCGCCGGCGGAACCACAGTTCAAAGCAGAGCCCGCTGTCCCCAATGTTTTCTGTCAGCCCCATGTCAGCAGTCTGAGAAAGGACAGAGGGTAGTGGGTGGAGATGCATGAATCCTGGTAGCTGGTGCCACTTGGCAAGCACTATGCTTAGCCTGGCATCTGGTAGATGTTTAGTAAACAGTGCCAAGTGCTCTACATGTAGTCTTCACAACAACCATAGTTTACAGAAGGAGAAATGAAGCCCAGTGACATGAAGCAACTCGCCCAAGGTCTTGCCACAGATTACAGAGTGGGGATTTGAACCTGTGTCTACGTTATTTCAAACCTGGGCCTCTTTCTCTATACTGTGCTCCCAACTGAGAGGCCAAACTAGTATGGGGGGCAGAGTGTGGGAACTTTTGGAATCATTCCATATTGTTGGATCACAGGATCATAGGTTGCTACTATGAACATTTATCTGACTGGTTTCCTAAAGCATGGCTTCTTCTCCTCTTTTCGATCTTGTCTTTTTTTTTTTCAGTACAGGGGATCGAACTCAGAATCTTGTGCTTACGAGGCAGGTGTGGCGCCACTGAGCTAAATCCCTGGCCCTTTTTTTGGTTAAGTTACATATAATGTCTTTTCTTCTCATACTCTTAACTCAACAGGCATGTATGTCCTTAATGGGAAAGATCCTCCTCCAGAGATGCCTGATAAGTCTCCCACATGAACTTAAGGAAAACATTATAGGATAGCCCAGTGACAGGGACTTCTGTCACCCCTTGACACCCTAACTTGATGATTGAGTACAGGCCAAAGACTGTTCTAGGTGATGTGGATTCTGAATCTGGTTTTGGGTTGAACTTGCTTAAGAAGAGCACAACCCCTCACACTTCAATTCTAGGCAACGTACCTTAAAAGCCTGCTTGTGAACAAAGCTCTCAGCCCCCCACTCAGAGCCCTTGAGCTTGCTGAACAAGAGGAGGTGTTCAAAGAGAAAGACATGGCGAAGGCACTTCTTCCGGCCACAGATGACAGTGAAGGGATCCCGATGCAAGAGCTGTCCCTGCTCCTTCAGATCTATCTGAGGAAAGGAAAAGGAAAAGCTCTTGGTCAGGAGTCCTTGTGTACATTTAATGAGGAGTAAAAACAAATTTGTAGGGCAAGGAGAATCATGCACTGGTTCTTAGGCATTTAGGAAATCAGGGAAGCCCTCAGCCTAGAATGCGTCCATTGGTCACCAGGCCCAGCACACCCCATCCAGGAACACAGCTCCACTCTGAAAATGGGAAGGTGCACTGCATGGTAGGGCTTCAGCATCCTCTGGAGAAGCCTTTGCATGTTTGGGACCCAGGAAGAGAACCAGCAAAGAGCTGGGATAGGTCTACCCCAGAGGAGGTAAGATCCCAGCCTGTTTTGGAATCTCAGGGCTGGAAAAAGACTAGGCACAGGAGAACAGGTATGTGTTGGGTCCTGAGATGGGGGCAGGAGTATAGGACAGATAGGGAAGGTAAGCCTTGGGAAAGGAACAGGAGAGCACAATGCAGATGTAGGAACACGGGATGTTGGTCAGGATGTAGCTTCTTTATTTACAGATGAGCAAACTGAGGGCCAGTTAAGTTCAGTGACTCAGCCATGGCCACCCAGCAGGTTAGAAACCAGAGCCTACGGCCCTTAGACGAGTCTGGTTCTTTTGTTGCCAGGCTGCACTGCTTCTGAGGCCACAGGGCTTGGCAGTTTGTGCAGCAGTGACTGGAACCAGGGCCTTACCTCACAGCCTCGCACTGCCTCCACAGCCAGCAGGTCTCTGCCACGGGCCTCTTGTTCCCGGAGCAGCTGCACAGCAGCCCCGAGGGCCTGGCGTTCGGAACTCAGCTCAGGCCCAGCTTCTCTCAGAAGCTCCTCTAGGAGGCGCCCATACCGAGCCAGTTGTTCTAGGGGCTGGTGCAGGGCCAGGGGCAGGTAAGGGCTACCCTCTGTGGAGCCCTAGGGTGGGGAGACAGACAGGGATGAGGGGAGGGGAGCGAGCCTATGGAGCCAAGCTCTGGGGTCAGGTGGTGAGGGGGCTAGGTCTATGCTTTTGGGTGTAGATAACCCCCAAATACTCCCAAAGGTAAAGCAAAACACTTCCCTCCAGAAAGAAGGCAGGCAGAGGGCCTGCAGGAGATGCAAACATTCTCTTGTCTTGAAGAGCATTGGAAGAAGAACCCAGGTACTAACCCTTTATACTCCTTGGCTCTTAGCTTTTGAAGTCACTTTCACATCTTTTGATGTGAGGTCTTTTTTTTTGGTACTGGGAATCGAACTTGGGACCTTGCGCTTTCGAGGCAGGTGGTGGCACCACTGAGCTAAATCCCTGGCCCCTATGTGAGGTCTTTTGATTCTCCGAGCTCCCTGTGAGTGACTACTGCTCTTTTTTACCAGATGGAGAAACAGGCCCAGAGGAATCAAGAGTCTTGCCCAGGATCCCTCAGATTGGGACGTGGATAAGAACCCAGCCTCATCTGGCTTTCAGTCCAGTGCTTGTCCCACCCTGAGCAATTCTGAGAGACTACTGGTAGCAGACACTCCTGGGCATATCCAGGAGAGCTTTTATTCCCTGAGGGGTTTTGAGGTGGGTTTCCCGACCCTCTTTCTCATGAGGGTTGGAGCAAAGTTTACCTTGGCTGGGGGGCTGAGGGCGGCCAGACCACTCTCCAGCTTGTGTCGGTGCTTCACATACTGAGCATAGAGGCCAAACTGGTCCCCCTGCACCAGCAAACAAGAGGTGAGGCATCCTTCAGGGGCCCCTGCAGGCGAACCTCTCCCTTCCCCCTCTTCTTCCTCAAGGCAGCACACAGGAGGGACAGGGAGCACTCGGCCTGCCAGGAAGTGAGGAGTCCAGGCAATACTTGAAGACAGGGACATAGGCTGAGTAGAACCAGATGGGCCCAGAAAACAGGGCCATGCCCCAGAGTCCTGGAGCACTCAAGGGGGAAAGGGCAATGAATGCTGAGGCAGGACAGGGGGAAGGGGCTGCAACATGAGAAGGGAGAGAACTAGGAAGAGGCTGTGGACGACAGAGTCACTCACGTGGCGGAGGAAGCAGGCCCCAATGCGCAGAGGGTGGGTGGCACAGCCCTGCAGCTCCCGCAGAAAGTGTGTCCGGTGGAAGCTTCGAAGCCTTTCCCGGGTGCTCAGGACAGCAGCCCAGGTGCCCCGCAGTTCAAGAGTCAGCTCAGGCCCAGGGGGTGGCACTGGCTCACTCAGGCTGCTCACATACTCCTGCTCACAGGCAATCAGTTCAGACAGCAGACGCTGCTGGGCACTGTAGGTACAACCAGAGTGGCAGAGGACGTGACACCCGGGGACAGGAAGGAGCCACAAACCTCAGCGATACCATGTTTATTCCTGCTGGTCAGTTGGGTCTGCCTCTTGGGCACAAGGGCCAGGCTCTCACCTGATACTCCGCTTGCGCTCCATCCGGGGGGTGCTTATTCCCCAGGGACCGTCCGGCCCCCCAGCCCGGCCCAGCAGCACATGTTCCCTTGGTGAGCACGTCCTGTCTACCACCTCAGTGCTGGTGACCTCCAGGCCTCGGATGAGCACAGCCCTTGGGGGTTTGCCGTCTGCTTCTGGAGCCAGCTCCGGGGACTCCTCCTCATAGTCCTCCCCACATGGGGCCAGGGAGCAATGGGACGGAGCAGCCCGTGGTCCAGGGCTGCTAGGAAGCAGCAGGGAACTGAGGCTGGGTGAGGGGCTATGGGAGCCCCGCTGGGGCCCCGCACTGCTGGCACTGTCTGCCCGTCGCCGCCGATGGCCCCGCGGACTGGCTTCCTCTCCCATCTGCTGCTGAATCCTCCTCTCCAGTTCTTGGCAACGGGCGCGGCAGTGACCCCACTCTCGCAGGGCTGCTGGGCTGCCCAGGTCCATGGCCAGGGCCCGCATCTCCTGGAAGGTGCCGGCACTGGGCTCTGGGGCCCGCCGCAGGGCAAGGGCTGCCAACAGGGCCTCACGACCAGGCCCAGCTCCTGCCAGCCGAGCAGAGCCCTCATCTACCCATTCATGTGCCTATAAAGCCAAAGGGTTGGAGATGGAAGACAAAGGGTGAGGACCCATGCCACTTCCAGAAGCATGTGACAGCTCTGGTCCTCTTTCTGATAGGTTTCCCAGAGCCTGTCGCCCTCCCTGTCCTCTGACTGTCGCAGCGTGACTGTCTAACCATGTCACTTGGAGATGCTATGGAGACAGAAGAGCCTAAACAACAGCTACTACTTAAGAGTTTCTAATGCTCAGTGCTAAATGAGTTTCCATATTGTCTCATGTGATCCTCACAGCAGTCCTGTGAGGCAGATGCCTACGGGGGGATATTCGGGCTTAGGACCTGGGTTCTGGTCATTCAGCAAGGAGGTGGCTAAGCGTCAAAGCCAAGGAGAGGGCTCCCGAGTTCCTGCTTGTACCTGACCATCCTCTCTAGGCCCAAGCAAACAACTAGTGGGCACAGAAGGGTCTCTGTGCACACCTGCTGGAAGAAGCGCTGAAGCCGCAGGGCCCGATGGAGGCCACTCTCCACCTGCTCCAGCCGCTGCTCAAAGGCATCCAAAACCTTTTGGGAGGCAGGGTCCTCCTGCAGAGCCAAGGCCTCCCGGGCCTGGGCCAGGCGCTCCTGGGGAAGGAAGGCTGTGCTCAGACCTGGGCTGTAATCCCAGTTAAGTCTCCCCTGCCTCCTCAGTGTCTCTCTCCTCGCCCTTCTCACCTGAACCTCAGTGCTGAAAGCCCGGAATCGCAGCTCTGTCTCCTGTAGAGCAGGCAGGGAGTCCCCAGGCAGAGCGAAACTTGCCAGCTGCTCGTCTCCTGGGCCCAAGAGCCACTGCAGCACCTGAGGCAGACAGGTTGAAGAGCAGGCTGTGAAGGAAAGGCTGAGGCCCTGTGCCAGCTCCACCACCCCAATCTGCAGATCCTTGGGTAATGCATTTCGCCTCATCTGTCACACATGATTGATAGTTGTGAATGAGAAAAAGTTTCCGCGAGGATCAAGTGAAAACCTGGGTAAGAAGACTTTAATAAAGTGCTAGATGAAGCTGTGTTGGTAGTAAGTACTGAGGGAGAAGGGTTAGAGGTTCAGGCCTAGGCTTGGGGGTGAAATATATAAAACTAGTGAGAACAAGAGGCAGGAAGGATGAGGGGGTTTTTTTGTTTTGTTTTGTTTTTGTTTTTTTGCCTTGAACTCATTATGTAGCCCAGGCTGGCCTTGAACTCATGGCAATCCCCCTGCCTCAGCCTCCCAAGTGCTGGCATTACAGGTGTATACCACCATGCCCAGAAATCTTACTTCTTAATCTTCCTTACAAAGGCAGTGGTTCCTTTTAGGGGCTTGCAGTACCCTCTCCTTCCACCCCATCCTTAGGTTTGGGGGATGACACCACATAAGGAGTTGAGGCAACCTCCCTGGCAGTGTAGCTAAAGAGCTGGAGTCAACAGATATTCATTATTATTATTTTTTAATATGAAGGTAGGCACTCCAGAGTCAATCAGCTCTTTTCAGAATCTCCAGGGGACCCCAAGCATTTTGACTGCCACTAAGGATCCCTGACCAAACATCAACAGAGGGAAGATCTGGCTTCATCTTTGCAGGTACTAAGATTCTCTCACCCTCTTGTTAAATCTCCCACTTCCCATGCCCATTCTCCAGGGGAGGCGAGGAGAGAGGGAGGGGTGTTCAGCTTAGCCAGGCAGGACCACCATCAATACTAAGTATCAGAAGGTGGACTACAGGCCAGGGTCCCAGGCTGAGTAGGAGGGGTTCTGGACCCCAGCTCACCTGCTGGAGTCGGTGCAGGCGCTGCCGCTGCTCCTGCCGTTGCACTTGCAGGTTGGAGAGGCGCACAAGCTGGTGAATGGCCTCATCCACCTCCTGATAGAGGGTAGCTGGGTCCGAGCCCTCCAACCTGGGGAAGGAGGAAGAGACAGAATGAACCTCTGTCCAACCCCCCAGTTTGTTCTTGAACCTCCAGTATTGCAAACATGAGAGGTGGCGTAGTATTGTGGATCAGAGTATGGGCCAGACAGACTGCCTGAATTTGAATCCTAACTCTTCTGAATTAACTTGGCCAAAACTTTTAACTTAACTTTTGTGATAGTAAGTGCAAAAGCATGCTATCTTGGTCAGATACATGCATAGTAAGAATTATCTGGTGGCTAAGGTTCACTGGCAGCCAGCCCTCTGCTGCCTACCACTCCCACCTGCCTCCACACACCCATCTCTCGTACTTGCTGCTGTGGGTGGAGCGCAGCCTCATCAGGATGGCTCCCCCATCTCTCTGCAATGCCGTCAGTCGGTGATCAGCCAGCACCTTCTGCAGAGGGTCAGGCATTCCCACCACCTCCTATGGACCAGGATTAATTGACAGTTGAGGTTCCACTAGGCAGTGCTCACCAAGGTCCCATCCCTATCCCATCCCCTGTTGCTCCATCTCATACCTCTCCCTCTGACGCTGCTGCTCTCTCCAGCTCTTCAATGGCCTGCCGTATGGAGCCCAGCACACCTTGGCACAGGCTGCATAGCCTTGCTACTTCCTGAAACCCAAATGCAGGGATGGAGCTCAAGGTCAGAGTTTAGAATAGAGAACATAAGCCCTAGGTGGGGGCAGCTTGGAGAATTTTTTTTCTTTCATGGTACTCAGGATTGAACCTAGTCCATGCTAAGCAAATGCTTTACCATCAAGTTATACATCCAACCCTTTTTATATTTTATTTTGCGATAGTTCTCATTAAGTGTCCCAGTCTGGCCTAGAACTTCTGATCCTCTCGCCTCCCTCTTGTGAGTGGCTGGGACACCACACCACCACGCCACACAGCCCAGAGACTTTTATGGAGGTAATGTTGGGTTCAGTTTCTGATTTTGTTGCTTATTAATTGGATGACATTGGGCAGGTCCAGAAGCCCTAAATCTCAGTTTCTTCTACCATAAAGTTGGAAGTAGACAGGATTTTGTGGGTTTTAAAGAGATGATACCAGCCAAGTATGGGCCTGACACATTGTACAGCTTATTAAATGCAAGTCTCCTCTTTCTTCTGTCTTTCACTGGGTCTTCACCCTACCAGACCTTCTTTTCTGCCTCTTCAGGTCCACTTCCCCTTTGGCACACAGCTTATAGATCATGCTACAGCTCACATCACATTTATTCTTCTCTTCTTGACTACTCACAGGACTTAGATTCATGGGATCATGGGAGATAAGTACTGGAAGAACCTTTACAGGTTGTATCACAATTGCTGCACTTTGCAGATGAAGATCCACAGTCCTGGAGACTAGTTCAGGGAGCAGATACAGAAAGGACAGCATATCCAGAAGGGAGGTAAAGTAACTTGTCCAAGGCCACATGGAACAAACAAACCTTTTGACTCTTAGTACTTTCTAAGACCCCAATGACACTATCTTGCACTCCTTTCTAGTTCTTTCATGACTTAATCTCCCACCAAAATTCATACATTACTGAATGTCATATGAAGAATATAACATACTCTGCCTGTTTCCTTATGATACAATATGCACAGTATTCTGCTCATGGCCTGTGAACCATAAATACTTGCTGAATGGAATGGATACTATATTTTCCCAACCCTATGCATCTTCCTTGTCTCCTAGAATGTCCTCAGCTGGGATATCTAGGGCCTCAGCTGGTTCCTAAGGCCCTAGATGGTGGAGGGGATGCTCACCTTATGTACCTCTACCCAGTGGCTGGGAGAGGAGTCTCTGTGACCTCCTAGGTCCCACTGCAGCTCCTCTGGCTTGGCCACTCTTTTCAGATCACTCTCTGACAGCCACTCAGCACCCTACAGACATGTGAAGGCAGGGAGTTTCTGCCTGGGCACCCAGGGATTCAGAGTTCGGCCTGGAGGTCCAGCCAGCCCCTTCTGCTCTCCACTACTGATGGGAGACCAGGTGAGAGAGTGAAGGGCTCAAACCTGAAATCCACAGAGTTCAGTGGGAGGGTCACCATTAGTGAGAATCAGCAGCCGCTGAATAAGGGGAGGGTCTCCTGAGTCCTGAAGGCAGAGAAGAATAACCCTAAACTATGGGCAACTAAGAGTTGTATCTAGGGCAAGTGCCTGTCTCAGGAGGATGGTTACCTGCAGTTGACTCAGAGCAGGAATGAGCACTGGAGGCAGTGGGGGTGCTTTGCGAAGGTCCAGCAAAACAGACAGTCCCAATAACTGGAGATCAGGCCTGTGGGGCAGGAAGGGCAGGAGGCTGCAGTCTGTGTGTGTGGGGGTGTGTGTGTCAGAGAGACAGCAGATAGGGCAGGTCAGAGGCATGGGTCTGACTTAGTATTCACAGTCCTCAGGAGCAGTTACTTCCTGGTATATTTAGGAAGCAATGTGCAAAGAGCCAAAGTCTGGGATATGTGTCCGAGTGGTAGTGGCATAGCATTCAGGAGCTGATGTTGTGGCTATTGTGTCAAGGGATTAAGGTCTGGAAAGTTAACAATTCCATGTTTTGGAAAGGTCTGAATTCAATGCCAGTCTGTGTCATGGTGTCTCACAGGTACTTTGTGACTCAATGTCCTGACAGTCTAAGTAGTGTCATAGAACACGGAGGTCAGCAGTGTTGATTCTGCAGATCAGTAGAGATATTATCCTGGAAATCAGAGGTCAGTAAGGTCAGAAGTCAATAACTTGAAAATCTGAGGGTTGAAGAAGTGTCCTAGAGGTCAGAAGGTCAGTGTCCTGAGAAGAAAGAAGTCAGGTCCTTGTGACTCAGGAGGTTAAGTCCAGGGTGCCAGGGCTCACCATGGTTACCTGAGAAGTGAGTGGAGGTAATGAAGAGCAGTGCTCAGCATGTCTCGGGAGGGTGCGGGCTCCTCAGGAGGACACGGTGGGGTAATGGTCAGCAGAGCTCGCCCACTCTGGTCCACCCCTCCTGAAGACACAAAATGGCCAGGCTGTCCTGGCTGGGAGCAGTCCTCGGCTACCTCCCTCTCAAGCCCACCTCAACTCCTTCTCTTTCCCCAAGTCCCTCTCCCTTTATCAACTGACCAGTCAGGACAAGGAATCCAGATGCCATCAAATCCCAGGCTATGTCAGGGTCATCAGAGATGGAGACTGGAGGGGCCTCTTGTGGAATGCTGTCCACTTTTACTTCCTGCACAGGCTCCAGAGGCTGTGTTGGGGAGTCGGACAGGAGCTCCTCTGGGTCTGCAGACCCTGCAGAGACAGGGACAGAGCTCTGGGCCTAAAGTGGGGGTGGGCCTGGCTGTTCCGATCTCAGCCTAACCCGCTCTTGCTGCAGCCCCTTTCCAAGGCCACCTTCCTGGGGGCTCGGCATCATCTCACCTGCCACCGAAACCAGGCTCGATCCCTCTTGCTCTCTTTCTTTGGTCCTCTCTTCTGCAGAACCACTATCTTCTGGGGGCAAAGACTCTTTTTCATCTGGGGGCGTGATCTCCTCTTTGGGCTCTGATTCTGACTTTCCAGGGTCTTTGTTTTCACCCTTAACCAGGCTGCATTCTGGAAGCTTGTTTTCGTTTGGTGAGGGCAAACTGACAAGGGCTTCCTGGTAGTCGGTCTCTTCCTTGTCCCCAGGGCTGAGTGGGGCACTGTCCCCTCCTCGGCTCAGAGCCCCTCTGCCTGTGGCTCGCTTCTTTCTCCTGTTTCCTTTGCCTGTTCTCCGAGGGGTACCAGGTGGTCCTTCAGCCCCCTGACCTGCTCCAGGGTCCCCTGATCTTGGGAAGCAGGATTCAGGGGATTCCCCCAAGGCCTCTGTTGGGGGTTCAGATACCTCCAGGTCTGCTGCCCCTGGGACAGCTTCAGCTCCTGGCGGAGACCTAGGGGAGGCTCCAGTGCTGCTCCCCTCACCGGGTGGGCGTGATCCATCCTGGTCCTGAGCCTGAACCCCCAGACCCTTCTGGTGCATCCATGCCCGGTGCCTCCGGTGCCGGCCCTTCCCTCCAGCACTCTTGCGGGTAGGTACTGTCCGGGTCCTGGAGAGGCCCGAAGAGCCCTCAGCATCTGTGGGACTTCCCCTTACAGGCAGTGTCACCTCCAAAAGCTCCACGTACTCACCCTCTGGTCCTTCAGCTGGAGCATTGTGCCCATCCCCAGGACTCCGAGTGCCCAGCACCTCCTGAGGGAGTGAAGGGCTGGGAAGCCCTGGGGGTACAGATGGCAGTTCAGGAGGCAGTGTGCCTGGCCGATGTCCAACCATGAGGCCTCCTTTGTGTACAAATCGTGGGCAGATGAGTTCGGCCCAGGGCAGCCGGTGAATCCCAGAGGGCGCAGACAGCAGGCAGGTGCTGAGGCGACCCGTAGGCCGGTCCTTGTTGATGCCTTGCAGCCACTCAGGTGTAAACAGGTAGGCACAGGCCTCATTGGGCACAGGCAGCTCCTGTACCCGCCCACCCCCTGGGGCCAGACACTTGAGTGCCAGGTGGGGTGCTTGGGCTGCTGAGGGCACCACCTGCAGGTAAAAGTCTCCGGGGCGAAGCAGCTGCCAGGGAAGGGCTGCTAGTTGCACCACAACCTGCTCATGCAGGCAGAGGGGCCAGCCCTCATGGAAGAAGAGGAATCCGCTGTACTGGGCCTGGGGAGAGAGGTAGGAGGCCGCCTTCAGTGGGAGGTGGTAGTGAGAATGGGCCCACCCTAGGCAGGACTGGCCTTATGCCTGGTGGGTTACACCTCCAGGGGAGCAGGAAGGAAGATCTTGGGGGTGTTCATGCGGCAGAGAGGAAGGCATTAGGACTGGTCAGTCTGCTGCTGGTAGGAAGCTAGTGTGTAGGAGGGCAAGAACTAAATCATTACAAAGATACGGTCAGCAGATGCCATTGTCTTAGAGGAATCAAAGACTTAGGGTTTTATAGCTGTAGAAGTAACGGATCTCTGTTGAGTCATTTCTGGGGGAGTTAGTATCTTGAGAAATTCATACGAGTGAGAAATGTCTGGAATTGGGACTGCAGGGTCAGGGTCTTTGGGAATCAATGTTTCTTAGAGATAAATATTCGGGGAAAAAAATATTTGGAGAAGACAAATATGCATGTATATGTCAGTATCTGAACAGGAGGTCAGCAAAATGAGGCTGAGTTTCCTCTGGGGAAATCAGTATTAAGGCAGGGTGCATCTCAGCGTGGGAGGAAATGAGTCTAGCTAGTCCAGAGCTAAGCAGTGGATCTCAGGGAGGCACAACAGGCCAGAGCCACTCACACAGGCTTCCTGCTGGACCTTGGCAAGCAGGTGCTTGGCTGGTACCAGGAAGTCCAGCGTGTACCTCAGCGCATCCTCCCGATAAGTCCTCTCCACCACTTGGAATACCTGGCCCAACAGGGTGGGGGCTGTGGCTTCAAAGGGTGGGTACAAAGCGGCGAGTGTGCTCTGCACACAGTCCTCCACTGGCTCAGGCTCCTGAGAGAAACAAGACCCAGCTACAGACCCCTGGAGATACCCAAGCAGGGTTTCTTGGGGACTGTGTTGGTCTGCAGGCAGCTGTGTCCTCCAAGGCCCTCATCATACAATGTGTGCACAGAGTGAGCACTCAGGAAATGCTGGCTAACAGAGCCCAAGATGGGTGTGGAGCTGGGCAGTCAGTCAGAGCCATACACAGGCTTAGCGGCGCTGCATACTCAAGCTGTGAGACCGAGGCTTTGGAGACACAGGGAGAATGTGCTGTGAGTGCCTTGGATTCCTCGTGAATCAGTGATGGCATAGGCCCTCAGGAGATAAAACAGGCTCCTGTGGCCTCAGGGGAGTGAGTTGATGGTCACCAGCTCTGAAGGGTGGAGCAAGAGGCTTCCACACAGCCATCCTGCAAATTGTTTCTATTTTTATTTATTTTTTGGTACTGGGGATCAAACTCCAGTCCTTCTGCTTGCAAGGCAGGTGGCGGAACTACTGAGTTAAATCCCTGACCCCTGCAAATTGTTTCCAAGTGAGCCCACCATCCAGAGACCCCCCATCTTAAGTGGTGGTGCCACCCACAGTCAGTTGCATCCCTGAGAGGATCGATGAGTAGAAAACTGTAGTGGGTCCAGGTTTTTACAGTACTCTTCTCTTCCAGAGTGGCTCTAAAGCAATCATCCATTCCCAGAGCATGTGGGATTGGATTACAATGAACTGGGTGGGGGCATTTGAAGTAGGAATAAGGCACAAAAGGAGTATGTGGGGAAGGGAGGAGGAGGACTTGATGATGGTATGCATTCCAGCTGAAATCCTTTCTAATTCCACAGGGACCTCTCGGTCAACCTAGACCTGGAGCCACCAGCTCGAGACACCCTGGCTTCCTCCAGACCTGCCTCCCTAAATGAATCAGTGGGACATCTTTCTCCATCCCACACCCTGAACAACAGCTCCCTGGGCTGCTCCTTAGCAAGCTTATTTCTCCTTTCAAGATGGCCTTTGAAGTTCCTTTTATCAGATTTCTTTGCTTTAAATGGGAAAGGGGGTGCTCAGTGCAGTATTTACCCAGCTTTCTGCCTCCCCTCCGCCCCATGCCTTGCTTTTGCTCGGAAGACAACATTGCATATTTTACTGAGACTCTCCAGCTAAAGTAGCTTGCTTGTCTCGGCCGCCTGAGCAGCTAGGGCTTCCACTCCAGAGAGGGACATTCAGTGCGTCAGCGCACAGCCCCAGCCCCAAGGTGTGTGGGCGAGCAGACAGACCCGCAGTGTTCCCGAGCCGGCGGGGGCTGTGCGCGTGGGTGGAGGGAAGGTCGGGATGGGCAGGGGTGGGGCAGGGGTGAGACGGGGTGGGCCTTCGGCTGCAAGGCCGGGAGGGGATAACTAGAGCTGGAGTAGCGAGGCAGCTGCAACCCATTAGGGGCGGTGAGCTCATGGCTGGGAGTCTCAGCCACAGGAAACGGCAGCGGCAGGAGGGGAGGAGGGGTCTAGGGCGGGAGGCGGTGGGAGCCCAGAGACCGGGCCTCTCGCTGGCCGGGACCAGAGACCCAGAGAGACTGAGTCAGCTCTGCCTGGCCCAGTTCCTCTTTCTTCTCGCTCCAGCTTACCAGGGGGTGCCCTTCCTCTCCGTAGAGGAGCAGCCCCGTGGGTGTCCTGCCCCTCCTCCACTCCCTGCAGTGAGCGCCCCCTGCCAGGGCCTACCCCCCCACTCTGCAGTGAGCGCCCTCCGTGGCCGCACCCCTCCCCTTGCAGAAGGCGCTCTCCCTGGCAGCGCCCACTCTTGCAGTGGTTCTTCACGAGTACTTCTGAACCAAAGTTCCAGGAATTGCATGCACTCCTGTGATGTGGGTTCCAGTACCCCAGTTGTTGCCCCAGAGTCTTCCCCCTCGAGCGCTGAGCTCCAGCCCGTGCTCCCTCTCCGCCTCGCTAGTGCTCGAGGAAGCGCTTCTGTTCCCCGCAATCTCTGGTCGGCTGTGGCAGCGCCACGCCCCCTAGTACCGTGCCACCCCTCTTCCCATCCACTACCCTGCAGCAGCCCCTCTTTCTCCGCGGGAGTTTCCCTCTTTGGCCGTGCCCCTGGCCCTTGGCCCAGCCACAGCTGCGGCTAGTCCCTTAGGGCCGGATGGGTGGGCCCGTCACACCGGGTTGGGGATGGAAAATGGTGATTCCAGGCAGGTCAGCTCTGACCCGAGGCAGTGCCCCTTCTAGGGCCGCTGCAGGACCAACCCGCAGGGTAAGGAACTGGGATCGGGAGGGGGAGGGAAGATCTGCAAAGGAAAGCACTGGTCAGGACTGAGGAGGCCAGGAGGAGCTGTGCGGGCTGGGGCTGGAGTAGAGGGGAGAGGAGAGAGAAAGAAAGCGTAAGTGAGGGCTGCTAGGGGTGGTGGTGGGGAGACAGCAAGACAGCAGGCAGGCGGGCCGATCGAAGAAGGGGGATGGGAGGAGGGGAGTCCCAGGAGCGCGGCGCGAGGCGGGCACGGCAGGCGCACGATTGGGGCCCGCGCCCGGAGCGGACTGCGAGAAGGCCAAGGGGACACGGGGGGCTGCTACGCGGGACTCACCATGGCTCGGCGCCTGGCCGCGTCCGACGCTCGGGCGGGCGGGCGGGGCGGGGCGTGCAACCGCCTCCTTCCCGCCGCTCGCGTCGCGTCTCCCTGGGTCTGGCCTGGGGACAGCTCCGGCAGCGGTGGCGGCTCCGCCGGCTGGGGCGCCCAGGCCGTGGGGCCCCGCCAGGGAGGGTCGAGACGGCCGCCCCTCCCCGCCCCGCCCGCAGCGCCCGCCCCCGCCGCGACGTGGAGTCCCTCACCGAGAGAGACTCCGGCTCCCTGGCCAAGCCTCTCCGCAGCTCCCCCGAAGTTCCCAGCCAATCCGCCCGGCTCACCCAAAACCCGCTTCCTCCTCCGCCCCGCCCTGCCGGGGGTAGCCCGGACCCTGACCCTCGGAGGCCCGCCCCGCCCAGGACTCCCCTCTTTTCCCGCCATCACCTCGCTCCCGGCGGCGGCGGCGGCATCAGTTCAGCCGCTGCGAGGGATTCTCCAGAGTCTCGGTGTGCGTGGATTCCCCGCGGTCCCCTTCCCCAGACCGTCCCTTCGCCCTCCCCCCCAGCCTTTCTCGCCGAAGGACTCTTCTTCCCATCGATGGCTGGACTTTGGAAGGACCCGGGGGCTCACAAGAGACCCCAGGCCCTTATCTCCTTGGGAAGAGTGGAGGTGGGGACATCAGGGGATCCCCTCAAGTGCCCAAGGCGTTGCCCACTCTTCTTCTTTCCTCTCCTCTTCTCGGGCCTCGACCCTCCAGGCTACCACCATGGGCTCCCCTGTGCTGCCTGGGGAAGGCGGGGGTACGAAGCAGAGGGGTGAAAGCTTGGGATGGGGTGGGTATCATGGCTGAGGAGACCAGGGCCTTGCACATCGGCGAACTTTTTCAGAGTTCTCGCCTCGCTGGCTCTTTCTCCACTGCATCCTCTATCCCCCTTCCCTAGGCCAGCAGGACACCAGCTCCAGGTCAGACCTCACATTTTGGTGCTGGATGCCAGACTGTTCCTTCTTATCGTTGGCGATAATGTCCCAGAGTCGCTAGGGCTTGTAGCTGTGGGGACCACGCAGTAGATACAGGGGGCTAGGCCAGGTAAGAAAGTTGTAGCGCCATCCCCTCTGCCTTACCACACCAGACCACGAGCATTCTCCACCGCGTCTGGGTAGGAAATGAACCTTCTCAGAGAGATGGTGGAGACACAGGAGCAGCAAGGGGCGGCGGGGGTGGGGGTGGGGACTGCTTTGTCCTGCCGCTGTATCTGTCCTGCCCCTGTATCCTATCCGAAGGATGCCTAGCCTCACGGTGAGCTCCACCAAAGGGTGGGCCTTGAGAAGACATGGGAAAGCCAACCAAATAGACTCGAGAGGGGCTTGAAGGCATGTGCCACTGCAGTTGGGGGATGACGCTTTAGAAAATCTTCTGCTTGGATGCAATTTCTAAGACGATGGAAGCCTGGAGCCTCTGGCCAGTTGTTAGAGTAAGAGGAAAGGAGAGGAGGTCGTCTCCAAGATGACAGGCTCTATTCTCACCTCCCCAGGACTCTAAACTACACCTTTCCCCCACCTGCTAGGTCTGGAAAGGAAGAGAAACATGTGCGTCCTTTTTGGAGATGAGAAGAGTCCTCTGCTCCAAAACGCCGGAAAAGAATCTGGGACAGCAAACCCTGGTGAGCATCTTCCCAGTACAGTAGAGCTGTAGAGACACTCTTTACAACCACCAGTTAGGCGATCCTCAGTCACCCAGACTTCCAGTTTCCTTGTAATTAGCAAAGAGAGTGAGATTTTGCTACCCCCTGGTGTTCATTCGGTAAATACTGCCCAGTAGCAGCACTTAAGGCAACTTTCCCAGGAATGTTTTATGAACCTTGTTCATCCCTTGTTTCAAGTCCACCTCACCCTCTTGTAGTGTTCAGAGAGTGTGAACTTTCCCTTACTGGGTCTTAGATTCCTTATACTTAAGCAAATTCTTTAAGGGGGACACTTGGTAGAGTTCAAGGTTCCCACAACTAGGTAACGGAATATAAATTGAACTGGCTATAGGCCATGAACTCTAGAAAAAAAAGCCTCCCTTCCATGGGGGAAAAAAGGGGGAGCCACTGAGAGTTTTTGAACTGGTGGAGTGAGAGAGTTTGGATACAGGGCCTGGAATGCAGTTACCCCTTCTTCCAGGAATTTTTTTTTTTTTTTTTTTGGTACCTGGGGATCGAACTCAGGTCCTTGCTCTTTGAGGCAAGCGCTGGAACCACTGAGCTAAATCCCTGGCCCAGGAATTTTTAAACTTATGCTAAATTACAAAGGTTTATTTTAAGTAAATGACATATGTGCTTTCAGTGGTTAAATACCACTTTCTGTAGAGAATGTAGCTCTTATCTAAAAGTGTGTGCGCATGCACACGTACACAATAAAGTTTGTATTGTGTGTGGTTTTGGAAGGAGATATGAAAGAGTAACGTTATAATGGAGAAATTGGAGGCTGTGAAGAGAGCAGGCCTAGAGACCCTCTCCTGCATCCAGGAACACCTCTTATCATATATCACTAATTGAAGATTCTGTGGTGTTTATCAGCTCCCAGTTTATGGATGAAATTCTGGCTTACTGAAGTTACATAACTTGCTCTAAGCTACACAGTACATGGAGAACCTGGGACTTGAATCCAGGCAGTCTGAATCCAGAGCCTTCACACTCAACTCCTGAGTTACCAGGGCTTCATCTAGGCTGCCAAAGTCCATAAAGGGGCTCTGAACAAATATCACCTTTTAAAAACACCTAAACAGGGCCAGGGATTTAGCTCAGTGGTTCTGCTGCCTGCCTCGAAAGCGCAAGGACCGAGTTCAATCCCCGGTACCAAAAAAAAAAAAGAAAAGAAAAAAGGGAAACACCTAAACAGGGGTCGGGGATTTAGCTCAGTGGTTTCGCTGCCTGCTGCGCAAGCGCAAGGACCCAAGTTCGATCCCCGGTACCAAAAAACAACAACTCCCCCCGCAAAAAACGCAACCTAAACATCACGTTTAAAAGTATTAAATTTGTTTTTGTAACAGCCAGTGCTAAAAGAATTTGTAGAAGTGATCAGTATGTCCCTGTAGGTCAGAGAAGAAAACCCATTCCCTGCCCCCACTCCAGACTTGTTCTAGAGTAATTGGTAAAATAATGTCTAAGAAGAGGGGCAGGGATGTAGCTCAGTGGTGCTGTGCCTCCCTGGCAAGCACAAGGTTCTGAGTTCGATCCCTGGTACTGGGATAAAAAGTTTCCATTACAGTTTGTATGGAGAAATAGTGTTATCCTTACATGGGCAAGGCAGAAGAAATATCTGTAACGGTTATTGCCTGGTTGGCAGTCTTTAGAAGCTGTAGCAGTTACTCTAGGGTGAAGCGTTTGGCTGCTCATTCTCTGTCTACCTGAAGGCAAGCAGCAACTAGGGCTCTGCTTCTGTTCTGAGCCTCAATTTAGGGAATAACTAATAAAGGACCGAAGGGGAATTTCAGGTACAGTTTTTCTTTTTGGTACCTGGGAATGAACTCAGGACCTTGCCCTTGCAAGGTAGGTAGGTAAGATAAACAAGCAGAATACATAAACATATGTTAATTCTATGTTTTGAATTAATTTCCCATTAATTTTGGTTTTTATTCCTTTAAAAAGTTTACAACTTGTGTTCTCTAAGTGTCACCAAAGCGCATACCTGCAACATCTTGTCTTGCCAGTGCATTAGTTTCCACTGTGTTCTACCAGCTCCACTCTGATCTCCTGATAAGCTATTTTCTGCATAGACTCAGAGTGAAATTTTAAAAATCTGACTCAGGGGGCTGGGAGTGTAGCTCAGAGATAGAGCACTTGCCTAGTGTGCATAAGGCCCTGGGTGTGATCCCCAGCACTGCAAAAGAAAAGGTAAATAGAAAAAAAATTTTTAAGGTAGGTGTGGTGGTGCATGCCTGTGAGCCCAGCATTCAGGAAGCCTGAGGCAAGAGGGCCACAAGTTCAGGTGCCACCTGGGCAATCTAGTGAGACCCTGTCTCCAAATAAAAACTCAAAAGGGCTGGGGGTGTCGTACAGTGGTAGAGCACCCCTGGGTTTGAGCTACAGTACTGCAAATAAATAAATTTACAGTGTTTTTAAAAATCCAAGAGTAGATCTCACCAGTTTCTTCTTTTTTTTTTTGGTACCAGGGATGGAACTCAGGACCTTGTGCTTATGAGGCAGGCGACAGCACCAGTGAGCTAAATCCCCCGCCCTCGCCCTCGTAGGCCTCTTCTAAGGGCTGCTCATCTGCATCACAGACTCCTTTTCTGCCTCCACCTTCATCGCTTACCACTCCTCTGATGTGGTAGGCAGCTAGTGATCCTCTGGCTGTAGTGACTTTTCAGTTTGTTTTTTTCTTCAGTACTGAGGATTGAACCTGGGGCCTTCACACTGAGCTACATCCCCAGGCCTTTTTATTTTGAGACAGGGTCTTGCTAAGTCTGCTAAATTGTCAGGCTGGGTTTGAACTTGAAATTCCCCTGCCTCAGCTTCCCAGAGTGCTAGGATCACAGGTGTGCGCCACCACATCCAGCTGATTTTTCAGTTCTTTTAACATGTCTTGTTTATTCCTAATTTGGCAGCTTTTTGCTTTCTTTTGTTTCTGCCTGGAGCCTTTTTTCCACAGTTCATCCTGAACTAAAGTGTAGTTATCTTAAATGTTCTCCTTGACCATGCAATCAAAATCGGTCTCTCACTTATTCTGTGGCTTTTTTTGTTTGTTTGTTTGTTTGTTTTTTGTACCGGGGATTGAACTCAGGACCTTGTGGTTGCCGGCACCACTGAGCTACATCCCTGGCCCAATTCTGTTCTGTTTCTTCACAATATTTATCTCTATCTGACCATGTATTTATTTGCTTATTGACTGTTTTATGATAGACCCACTCCATGCCACATGTAACCTAAAAATGAACTTGTGTGTGTGTGTGTGTGTGTTGGTGATCAAACAACCCAGGGCCTTGTGCTTGCTAGGCAAGCACTGTACCACTTGAGCTAAATCCCCAAATAAAACTAAACTTTGTGAAGTCAGAACTTTGAACTACTTTGTCAGTGGTCTCTCCTAGTCAGTGTCTGACAAGGCCCGTGAAGATATCAAACCAGGTGAAGACTATGTGGAGAGCAAAAAGCCCCATCGGACAGCAATGGGGGTGGGAACAAAAAAGGGGTGGAAACAGGAGCAGGTGTGGGAGTCCGAGGGTTGGAGTAGGCACATTGTTTTCCTGTCTTCCTGGGCTCAGCCCTCGCATTCTTCTTTGCCGCTGGAGGATGTTTGCAAATGGAAGCTACACAGGACAGAATTGAAAACAAATGGAGCCATCCTCTGAGTCAGCTGTGTGTGTGTTGTGCTGGAGCACACGTAGCTTGATGAGGAACTTCTGGAAAGACTCCAGATGCATTTATGGAACTGCTTGATTTCAAAACTCAGAAACTTTTATGTAGTTGTAACCCATTTGAAAATGCAGTTTTATGTTCTGTTTTCTTTATGTAGTGTTGCCCACACATTTTTATGCATCGGGATAATTTTTGCATACGTTATTATCTTCAGTGAAAATGTTAAATCATTGTACACCATTTGTTTAATTGCTTTTGATTTTGGGGAATTTGTATTGTATTATGCTTTTCTGTTCCACAAAGCAAAGGTATGGATAGATTTGTAAAAATGTCCTCCTCACTTTGAGTTACTTTCATTTGGTATATTTTACAAAATGGAATTACTGAGTCAAATAGTAAGAGCCACTTTATAGCTCTTGTTATTGCCAGATGAGGCAATATTTGGAGGGCATGGGTCATGAAAGTCTTGAAATATTTAAAAGGTTGTTTGTGAAGAGGAGCTGGACTTGTTCTGAGGTGTAGTGGAGCATCGGTGAATTGTTGCAATTATAAGGATAAGTAGGTTAGATTCTATGAAAGGGAGTTTTTAATATTTAGAGCTGCCTGAAAATGGGACCATCTGCTTCTATAAGTAGTAGATCTCCTCTTGCTGAAACTTTTAAGCACAGTGAAGTTTTTTTTTTTTGGTACTGGGGGTCGAACTCAGGACCTTGCGCTTGCGAGGCAGGTGGCGTCACCACTGAGCTAAATCCCCGGCCCAGCACAGTGAGTTTTTAAAGAAGTTATTTTATAAGCTTTCCAGACCTCTGTATTTTCCTACCCCCATCCTTTTGCTTCAAAACTAAATTCTAAATGACATTTATTAAGATGTAGCACAGGGCTGGGGATTTAGCTCAGTGGTTCCACTGCCTGCCACATTGCCACTTGTATTAGCAGCATCCCAGATCCCTCACTGGGAGACCTCAGAGTCAGAGTCTTGACAGGCAAAATTTGGGAATTACACCAGCGTGAATTACCCTCTCCCATCCCCAGTCTTCAGAACTGCCAGGCAAGTTGGTCAAAGTTTTTCTTCAGTCTCTTGACATTTTTACTGTGCTCATTGTCTACCTGCAAGTCTTATCCCACATTTACCTGCTTGTAGACTTTATAAAACTTTTTTTTTTCAATATTAAGGATCAGAAAAAAATATTAAGGATCAAACTCAGGGCCTCTGCACTGAGCCACATTGCCAGGACCCCTAAAGAGACCCCCCCCCCCTGCTTTTTAGTCCTTTTTTATTTTGTATTTTGAGACCGGTCTCACTAAATTGCCCCGGGTGGGTTCAAACTTCCAATCTACCTACCTCAGCCTTCCAAGTTCTGGGATTACGGGCATGTGCCACTGCACCCAGTTTACAAAACTTTATGGAAAGTTGTGTTACACCACCAAATCCCAAGCCAATCCTAGTGCCTAAGTGATTGATTCTAAGTATTTGTTACATTATCTTGTATTCTTTCTGACAAAGATATTTGCATTTTAAATGAAGAATTTGGTTCTTCATTTCTGATCTGTAATTGGTGCAATACAACTCCTAATCTGAGTGAGATAACTTTACCTACTCATCATAAACACATGTGTACACACACGCACACACATTTCCAGGCAAGTCCTCTAATTTTTGAAGGAATTATTGCTTAACAATCTGGGGTTGTTCATTTGTTTGCTTATGGCCACTTTATTTAGTAAAATATTGTCTCAAAACACCAAGTTTGGGCAAGGAGGAAAAATCCCTATTGAGGATGGAGATTCAATTATGGTCTCTGAATTTTAATTTTTCTTGGGGTATATTTTGATGCATTCCTCTGCTGTTAGCACATTGGCCTCAGGGAAGCCTGTTTCCCTTTCTAAGTTCCCCAGAGTACAATGAAAGAGTCTCCCTAATTCCACAGCAAAATGGGCCAGCAGGCTGCACGGGGAGCTAGAGGTCAGGGCTCAATTCTGGTTGCACCACTGCCATCTGCCTGCCCTTGAGTCTAAGCCTTCGCTCCTGAATCGTCAGTAGCCTCCCTCCCTTCTGAAATGCCTAGTAAAACCAGCACACATGAGAACACAAAACAGACAGTCACAAAGCCAGCTGTGAAAGTGCAGGTGAAAACATGGTTTTGCTATGTCAGTCTGAGTTTTTAAAATGGCCCTTTTGTTCCTAGCAATGAATAACCAGAGGGCTGCTTGCCTTTTTAAAATTTATGTTCCCACCAGATGTGCACACTTGTAATCCCAGCACTCTAGGAGGCTGGGGCAGGAGGATCCTAGATTTGAGCCCAGTCTTAGCAATTTAACTACTTAGTAAGACGCAGTCTCAAAATAAAAAATAAGCATTTTATGCAAAGGCCCTAGGTAAAATCTCCCACACTGAAAACAATAAAATAAAATTTATGTTCTCTGTTAAAGCTACAAATCAGAAGACTAATTTTTCCTTCAGCTTTTATGTTTATAAAAAATTTACACATAAAAAAAAATTTACACAAAAAGTCTAATAGTCATTTTAGAGAAGTGTATTGATGACTATTTGGTCCCATTTAGAAATGTAGTTAAACATTAGCATCTTAATGATGTGGCTGTAATTTGTATGTCTCTCTGCTGGGTGGCTCTGACCCACTAGTGGTACATGCATGTCTGCCCGAGGTGTTCCATCAATGAGATAATCATGCATGTATCATCAGTGGTTCAAGTCAGCAGGAACATGTTAAAAAATTATAAATTTAATGTATTCCGAGTCTCTTAAAGTAATTCAGTTATCTGAGCTAATGAACAAAACATTCCTGAATACCTAAAACTGTTATGAATCTAACAATTTATAAATAGGGCGAATCAATTCCTCTATTTTCTTAAACATTCCACCCCAAATTTTAGATGAAGGTTCCATTTCAAATCACACACATTTTAAATTAGAATTGTAAGTCTAATTTGTTACTGTAATGAACTACATTTCTCTCTCTCTCTCTGGTGTTAGAGATTGAACCGAGGGCCTCCCTTATACTAGACAAGTACTCTAGCACGGAGCCATATTCCCAGCTCCGAAAAGCTCTCTACCATCACAAGTATCCAGAATACCAAACATCACCAGGTAGGGTGCTGCTTGACTGTAATCTCAGCACTAGGAGAGGCTGAAGCAAAAGGCTCACAAGTTCAAGCTCAACCTGGGTAATTTGGCAAGACTCTCTCAAAATAAAAAATAAAAAATGGGCTAGGAATGTAGCTCAGAGTGAAGGCCCTGAGTTCAATCCCCAGTACCAGAAAACAAGAACAAGAACAACCAGATATGTATAAATTTCTTAAAACAAACATGTAAGGTTGTTTCATTCTTTTGAATTTTTCTACCCTTAATTCTAAAATTTCTCAATATTAAAATCTATTTTTTAAAAAAATCTACTTACCCACTAGGAAACAAAGATGTCATCCCAAATGCCTGGGGTGCCCCTTCCCAAGGAATGCTCTGGAAACCGTTCTCAGTGGCCCAGAGAGTACACTCAGTAGAGATTCTGTTCCAAGACTTTTGGGCAGCTCTTCTCAGGCCCTCAAGTACCCCACTGAGCCCTGTTTTATGGGTCCTGCGTCATTACTCTCCAAATGGGCCAATTTTACAGCCAATGGCTCCTAGATTCAAATTACACTCCACCTAATTCTTCAGCCTACACAAGGAAGTTGGAAACTCCTACCCGAGTTGCTATACCACTTGTTAGGATATAATTAGTCTAGTGAAGGATTCATTGTATTCTGAATTCTTTCTATAGCTTCCCAGTTTCTGGGGCTGCAACTCTTAAAGGTATTGACTAGTTGGATTATTCCCGGTGTTGCCAGACTCTGGTTACAGACCTTATGTTAGTCCAGAGAATGCCACAGGAAGTTTAGTGCTAAACAGAGAATGAACTTCAGGTCAGGATGAAGGAAACCCTAAAGGAGTGGGAGAAAAAGCATATGCAATCCATTTGATTCATTCTTCTCTTCTGTTTTATTGTTTGATAGTGTTTCCTGTGTGTTATTTATCCTTGCCTCCTAAACAAGATAGCAAACTGTAGTTGCACTAACTGAGATGTGTTTGCCTAACTCCTCCCAAGCCCAGTCTCCTTCAAGTCCATAACATGTTGGGCGCATATTAGGGACCCAATGCTATTTGTTAAAAATAAAATAAAGGAAAACCCAAGAACTTGTGTGCCCTCTTGAGGCAGTACCTGAGATAGGTTGCTAAGAGATAGATGTCAAAGGAAGTTGACACAGTTGTGTGTCTTGGATTAGAGCTTGAATGATTGAGTATAATGTACCCACTAACCTATCCTGGGAGGCTGTAGGAGGAGGGAAAGTATAGAAGTCAGAAGGATCATGTGCTTAGTTTTGAGTGGTTTGGGTTGAGATGCCTGCAGGACTCTGAGGTGGCCAGTAACCGTACGTAGATGGACATTTGTGCCTGGACTTTGGGAGATCTGAGCTTGAGATATGCCTTGGGAGTAGGTAAGTGGCAGTTAAAACTTTGGGCATAAATCAAATCACATTGGGAGAGTGCAGTATAAGAAGAAAAGAGAGCTAAGAATAGGACCCTGAGAAACACCATCATTGAAAATGCATATACAGGAAAGAGCCTGCTTACAACCATGGGAAGAAGCCAGAAGGTAGACAAATGTTGTTTCTCTCACACTTCCAGTATGTCTTCCCTACTCATAAACTCAGGAATAGGCAACATGGTGGTAGCGATGGGCAGAACACAGTGGAGGGGCTGCACCATGCTGGGTGGGAGACTGCAGTTGGGATAGGATGGTGTGGGTATGAGCTCAGGTTCTAGAAAGCTTGGGAGAGGGCTGGGAAATGGAATTTCTGAATTCCATGCTTTCTCTGCCACTTCATATTTCAACAAACATCCTTTCCTTATTCAGAGTCATAGACTCTTGGAAAACTTTTCTGCAAATATGGAAAGAGGTGTGATGAGGAAGCAGGAGTGAGAGAAGGAGAGGAGGTGCCTTACTATCAAATATGTGTGCATGTGTGTATGAGTGTTATACACACATATGAGCATGTGTCCCTGCGTACACATAGGAGTATGGAAGTGTACTAGGTATGTGTATATGTGTATATGTATACAACCTATGTACAGTAAGTCCTCGAATTGCCAACATTCAATTTGCAAACCTTCCCAGGTGTACTTAGTGTACACCTCATTTTGTCAGACTTAGGAATGAATCCGACTTATGAACATTCTCCTGGAATGGAACTCATTCATAAGTCAGGGACTTACTGTATATATTTCTCTCTGTAAATTTCATGATAAGTACTGAAATTAAGAGGAAGAAAACTCACATAGCAATTTGACAGAGTGATTTTATGTTAATTGAATCTAATAAATTTCGGCTGGTAATTTCTTTATCTGTGGGTTCTATTCCTTTCTTAGAATTCATTTAATTGTATTAGCAGATTGCATATGAAACTTCTCCTTCATTGCTGCTAGAAGAGCACTGATGAAGATTCTTTGTAGGCTGGGGATTTAGCTCAGTGGCACTGTGCCTGCCTCACAAACACAATGTTGTGAGTTTGATCCCCGGTACAAAAAAAAAAAAAGATTCTTTGTAGATCCTGATTCTGAAATTCCCAAGGAAGGGAAATTGACTTCAGAAGCCTGAGGCTGAGGTCCTGGGTCAGATCAATGAAGCATGAGCACAAGTACTAAACTCAAAGAAGAGGTCAGGCCTCAGGGGTCTGACTGGTGTCCTGAGGCTCAACCTGTTCTCTCCTTCTTTCCTTTTAGGTGAAATGGCACCACCTGACAGCTTTCAAGGTATTGGACAGCAGATCTGGAGACAAGTCTCCAAGACCCTAAAAGCTCAATTCTTCCTCCTGCCTGCAGAGCAGGTGAGGCTGATGTTCGTAGATAGAAGAAGGCATTTCAGGGCCTTGGAACAGGCACTGAAAACCTCTATACTTCCCTCCAAACAGTAATGTATGGTGATTGTTAATTGTGATATGTCAGCTTCACTTGAATGAGAACAGCCTAGCAGATTAGTTCTTGTTCTTTTTTTTTTTTTGGTACCGGGGATTGAACTCGGGTCCTTGGGCTTGCACAGCAGGCGGCGAAACCACTGAGCTAAATCCCTGGCCAGATTAGTAAATATTGGAATGTCTGTAGATGACTAACATGGAGGCCTGCAGACTGAGCAGGGAAGACCTAGTCCAGTTGTGGGCAGCACAACCAATAGGCTTGCAGCCCGGACAGAATAAAAAGGGAAAGAAGGAAGTATCCCTTTTTTGGGGGGAATTCTCCTATTTACCATTGCCTTTGGACACTGGTTTCCAGTTTCCTCAGCCTTCCAGCATAGACTCTTCCACCTTCCAGTGCAGACTCTTTAGCCTTCTGACACAGATGCATACGCTGGTCACTCTACAGCCTTCAACCTTCATTCTGGGCCTTCAACCTTCATTGCTTCTGGAGCTTCTAGCTCACCAGTGTGGGGACAGCCATTTTAGATTCTTCTACTCTTGATCCCATAGATGGCCATTGTGACTCTTCTGTTTTTAATCCTCAAAGCCCACCTAATAAATCCCTTTGTATAATTAGACATTTATATTGATTCTGTTCCTCTAGAGAACCCTAACTAATATATACATATATATATATATATACATACACACACACACACACACACTCAATCAGGAATAGTAGAGCCTTTTATTTCGGCAAAATCAGACACATTCCTTTGTCCAACACAAGGAACCTAGCACAGATGCCTGCCCACATTATACAATTGCTCTTTTTTAGGTTTCCTTTGAACTGCCCTACCAAAACACTTCTAAAGCCATAACTTATTTTTCATTTGTAATTTTATATTCTTTTTCTTTAAGAAGGTTTCCAAAATTACATAAGCCACCTACCTCATAAAACCTGCATCCGCTCTTGCTAAGCTCCCAAGTGTTTGACTTTGGAAGGGCAGAGAATACCAGATATAAGAAGAAAAAGTAAGCAGCAATGAAGGGCTAGAGAAGAGTCCCTCTCCCCTCATCATTTGGAGCATCTGTAAAACCCCCTAAGAAATACAGAGTATGTGAGGTTGGGCTTGTGGGAAGAAATGGTATTTTCAAAGAGGGTAAGAACTAGTAAAGAACCAGGAAAGAAATGCTGCAGCAGTGTGGAATCTGTAGAACTTTGGGGAGGGGCCCAAGCCTTAGATAATACCATCTAAATGCACAGGAACCAATGAGTGTCATGCTTATCCTTCGATTGTGGAGGGTCACCGGCCACATGCAAGATGCATCTACACACTTTTCCTTGTATCTTCAGTCTGGGTACCTTCTAGAAGTATACTGACACATGGTCAGGGATATAGCCTCGGGTGGCAGTTTTTGTGTCCCTTCTTGCAGGCTATGTTGGGGGTCTGGCAAGTGGTGGCTGCAACGGGCATGGGTTCATGCAGGAAGGAGCTGAGGGCTTTCCAGTGCTTTGTGTACTTGATGTGGCCCATCACTGAGTTGCAGGCTTGAGGGCTGGGGTGCATGTGCTGAGTTTTAAACCACTGAGCTGAGGTCATGTTTCTGGGCTTGGCACTGACTGGGATCTCTGCCACCCACAGCCCCAGCAGCAGGAACAGTGGCAGGGAATGGAACTCTGTCTTGGCTGGTGCCATCTCCTCTAAGGATGCAGACAGTGGAACAGAGGGGAGGGGTGGGTGGGTCATCAGGAGGAGCCTTGCTGGTCCCTCATGAATTTCATACCAGAACTTCAGAGTTCCGGAAGTCCAAGATATTAAAGAGATTGAATACCACTGGAATTTTTTTTTCTTTTTTTTGTGGTACTGGGGATCAAACTCGGGACCTTGCACTTTCGAGGCAGGCACGGCACCACTGAGCTAAATCCCAGCCCTACCACTGAAATTTTATTGCTTAGTTAGAGCAGATAATTTTTTTTTTTTTGAGACAGTTTCTTTATGTAGCCCAGGCTGGCCTCAAACTTGTGATCTTCTTGCATCACCCTCCCAAGTTAGAGAAATTCCCCATTATCACATGATTAAAGACTATATCATAATATAGGATTTTAATCAAGACCTCTCAGTTTCCAAAGCTCTTATTCTTTCCACACTCCCTTTTTTTTGAGATAGTTTCATTATGTAGTTCAGGCTGGCCTTATTTTTTTTAATTAATTTTATTGGTACATTTTAGGTATATAATATAATGACATTCATCATTGGAAATTTGCACCTTTACATAATCCATCTTGGTTCTTATTTTTTCCCCATTCCTAGCCCTCCCTTCAACCCCTCCATCCCTCCTATTTACAAAGACTTTGTTTCCATTTTTTCATAGTAATTCCATTCCCTCCTTTCCTTTCCCCTACTCCTCCCACTTCCCCTTCCCCTTTGCCCCTTTTCTTCCTATTTCACATTATCTATTATACCTTTTAGTCTTTATTTACACTTTCAGTTTCTCACACTGGAGAAACTGTTCGGTATTTACACATATGTATCCTAATTATTTCACTTAAGAGTATCTTCAGGCTGGCCTTCAACTCACTGTGTAGCCCACTTTGGCCTCAAACTCATGGTGATCCTCCTGCTTCACTCCCAAGTGCTGAGATTACAGGTGTGCACCACCATGCCTGGCCGGCTCCATGTTTCTTTTCTTAGTGTGTGTTTATGTGTGTGCGGGTGTTTCTTTTTTTTAATCTCTGAGAAGTCATCATGAAGGGAAATTAGTCTCTGGAGAAAATTAAACCAAAGTTCTCCCATGATGGCTTATGTATTCTTTTTGTTTTGTTTTGTTTTTTGGCTTAAGTATTCTTGAAAGGCTTGATATTAAGGTTGTGAGTCAGGCTCCTTCCTTTCTACTCTGTATCCGTGTTTATTCCTGAAGTTAGAGAAAAATGGTCACTGTGCGTCAGGGAACCACTGTTCCATCTGGCAAAGCAACATGGTGAGCTGGGTTCTTGCCATGCCTGTTGGAGGATGTCCTGTAATGATAGAGTCGGAGCTGGGAGAGGTTGTGGAGATCACCTCAACTGACCACCTCATTGTGCAGATAATGGCGCTCAAGTTCCTGAAAGGGCAAGTGCCCTTCCCAAGGCCACGGAATGAGTGGCAGGGCCGGGGCCAGGAACTTCCTGACTTTCAATTGGTCCCGTTGGTCTAGTGCCAGCTGCAAAGGGAAGGAGAAAGAGCTTCCTGGAGAGGCAGAGCTTAGTGAGTGTTGCTCTGTGGTTTTAGGTGGTGCATGAGCATTGCCATAAATAACTCCCTAAACCCTTCTGATAACATTTAGGAGAAAGTCTCCTCTTAGAGCAAGAAGGTCAGTTCTGTTCCACTAATATTTGTTTTTCCTCCTTTTCAATAGAGACAACAGACCTCAGGCTGAGTCTTCCACTGAATAATATCTGGAAAGAGTTTTTAAATATCAGATGACATTCACTATATGTATGTATGTATTTATTTATTTATTTTTGACACTAGGGATCAAACTCAGGACCTTGTGCTTGTGAGGCAAGGGAGCAGCACCACTGAGCTCAATCCCCAGCCCCACTATATTTATTTTTAATTACAATTTATTAAGTAACCCTAGTATCCTGTGACAGATGATTATACAGTTTCATTTTCAAAAATTATTTGAATTAAATAAGTAAATGTATATTTAGTAAATTTCAACACTGAAATGAATGGATATTGTGAAAATTGTCAGAGGAAAAGCAAATAACTGTAATTTTTGGAAACTTGCTGTATTGGTTAGGGTTCTCGAGAGGAGCAGAGTCAATAGAAAATATATGCATAATTAGGTAAAGAGATTTATTATGTAAGGTTATAGGATCCAAATGCACACTGGAAAGCTGGAGGATCCAGTAGCTGTCCAGCCCAGGAAGATGGAAGCTATAGAACAGGAGGGATGAATACCACATTTTCTTTATCCATTCATCTGTTGATGGACGTATAGGCTGTGTCCAAGATTTAGCTACTATGAACTGTGCTGCTATAAACATGAGTATGCATGTATCAGTCCGAGATCAAAGGCCTGGAAGCTCACTGGAGAGTTACTGGTGTGAGTCTGCTATGTGTTGGAAGGCTGAAGAAACTGGAGACTGATGTCCACAGGTGACAGCAGTAAAAGACACACCTGCTCAAGCACAGCGGAACTCTTCATATAGGTAACTTTCTTCCTTCCTTTTTATTCAACCCAGGCTACAAGCCTGTTGGTTGTTTCTACCCACAACTCTGGAAATACTTCCCAGACACACCAGGGACTGGGCTTTACTATCTGTTAGATGTTTCTTACTCCCATCATGTTGACATATCTAACACAATCCACACCCTTTGTCAACTTGATAACCAGACATATCTCCTTAACCCACACTTAATCTCCAAATGTGACAGCAAGTTCATAATTATGCCTAACATGATACAGACATCCTGCATACAAATGGAAATGCATTACATCCCTCCCCAGAATAGAAGGCAAAGTTTTTCTTTGTGTGATGCTTACTCTTCTTGTGACATTTCATAACTTAAATATTAAAATGTAGATTTAACAATACATACTGATACTAGATCAATCAATGTTTTGTAACAAAGACATTAACTTAATTATATATTGGTTAGGGTTCTCTAGAAGAAAGAAAGCTGGATATGCTGGTACATGCCTGTAATCCCAGCACTCTCGGTGGCTGAGGTAGGAAGATCACAAGTTGGAGCCCAGCTTGTGCAACTCAGGAACTTTTCAAGACCCTGTCTCAAAATAAAAACTAAAAAGGGGAGCTGAGCATGGTGGTGCATGCTTATAATCCCAGCACTTAGGAGGCTGAGGCAGAAGGATTGCTGCAAGTTCAAGGCCAGCCTGGGCTACACAGTGAGTTCAAGGCCAGCTTGGACTACATGGTGAGACCCTGTCTCAAACAAATAAACACCCAACCCCAAAACCTAAAAAGGAGTAGGGATGTAGCTCAGTGTGAAGGTCCTGGGTTCAATTCTCAGTAACACACACACATGCGGATTTGCACACACACACACACACACACACACATACACGTGAAAAGAAATAAATATTCATAACAACAACAATCCTAGTTTCTCTAACTGATCATGTGGTCCCAGCTGAGATTATAACTACCTTCTTCTGCTACCCATTCTGTATTCCCTTGGCCTTTAGTAAACACCTCAGATGGTCTTGGTTCTTTAGCTGGTGGGATAACCCACACATTCATTCCTGAAGATTCTGGGCCATTGTCATCCTGCCTGGATTGGGTTATTGTAGTTTCCAACTGACCCTAATGACAAGGCATGTGAAGATTGAACCTATGCACCAAACTAAAATCAAAATAGATCAGAGATCTAAATATTAAAACAGAAACATGTAATCCTGTAGAAGACAAAATAGGTAAAATTCTTGAAGATACAGGTGTGGGCAAAGACTTCCTGAACAGAACCCTGATTGCACAAGAAATAATTACCAAGAATCAACAAATCAGATCACATCAAATTAAAAAGCTTCTGCACAGCAAAGGAAACCACCAATAGGGTGAAGAGAAAATCTACAGAATGGGGAAAAAAGTTGCCAGCTAGTCTTCAAAGAACTAATATCTAGAATAAAGAACTCAAAAACATTAAACCCCTCAAGATCTGGGTGTTATGGTGCATGCCTGTCACCCCAGCACTTGGAAGGTGAGGTGGGAGGATGCTGCAAGTTCGAGGCCAGCCTGGGCTACATAGTGAGTTCAAGGCCAGCTTGCACTACAAAGCAAGACCCTGTCTCAAAAAATAATAATAATTAAACCTCAATTTTTTTTTTTTTTTTGAGGCAGGGTCTCCCTTTGTAGTTCAGGCTGGCCCTGAACTCACTATGTAGCCCAGGCTGGCCTCGATCTTGCAGCAATCCTCTTGCCTCAGCCTGCCGAGTGCTAGGATTATAGGTATGCGCCGCCATGCCTGGCTACAAACCCCTCAAATTTAAAGACCCTATCAAAAAATGGGCAACTAAAATGAAATGACACTTCTCAGATTAAGAAGTATAAATAGCTAATATATATATGAAAAAATGTTCAATATTGCTGGGAATTCAAGAAATGTCAATTAAAACAACACTGAGATTCCATCTCATTCCAAAAAAGAATGGATACCATCAAGAAATCAACCAATAACAGATGCTAACAAGGCAGGGGGAGAAAGGAACTCTTCTTCATTGTTGGTGGGAGTGTAAACTGATATAACTACTATGGAAATCAGTAAGGAGATTCCTCAAAAACTAAAAATGGAAACTCCATTTGACCCAACTATTCCCCTTCTAGATATCTTCCTAAAGGAGTTATATTACAGTGATACGTGCATATCCATGTTTATAGCAGCACAATTTATAACAGGCAAATCTTGGAAATGGCCTATATGTCTATTAACAGATGAATGGCTAAAAAATGTAGTATTTATATGCAACAGAGTATTACTCTCCCATAAAAAGGGATAAACTTTGGTCATTTATAGGAAAATGGATGCACCTTCAGACCATAATGTTAAGTGAAGTAAATCAGACACACAAACTTAAATATCACATGGTTTCTTTTATATGAGAAACCCAATATATAAATAAAGTGCAAAATTAGAATAGATAGGCAATAGGAAAAAAAAAAGAGAAAAGGTTATTGTAATTCAGCATGGCTGATGTATCTAAAAGTGTACCTTGATTTAGTATAGTTGATTTATGTGTTTTATATATTTTCTGCCTGGTTAGCCTGGCTGTTAATCTGTGTTTGTGATACTTTACTTAATAAAGACTTATAAAATAAATAAATCTGATGCTGGCAAAAAAGGGGAGCATGTTAATACTAGGAGACACCCTTCACCTGCACTTCATACATATTCTTGCTTACCTCCATCGTGGTGTAGTAGTCCAACTTCCCTTTGGTAGTCTGAATCAGTCACCCCTACCAACACTGTAACTTCCCTTTTTTAAATTTATTTTTTATTTATTTTTGGATTTTTGAGACAAGATCTTACTATGTAATTCAGGCTGACCTTGATCTCACTATGTAGCACAAACTGGCCTCAAACTTGCAGTGATCCTCCTGCCTCAGCCTCCCAGGTGCTAGGATTACAGGTGTGTGCCACCTCACCTGACTTTGTAACTTCCTTTTTATTATTTTTTGTTATTTTGAGGCAGGGTCTTGCTGTGTAGTTCAGGCTGGCCTTAAACTCATTATGTAGCCCCGGCTGGCTTTGAATTCAAGACAGTTTTCCTGCCTCAGCTTCCCAAATTCTGGGATTAAAGTCATGTGCCACCATGCCTGGGAGTAATGTCCTTTTCTTCCTGTTGACTCAGAGGCATGAGGAGCCAAAAATAACCACAAGGGAGTCTTACCTTCAAGTTCAGTGACATCATTGTTGTATATCCTGGTAGAACCATTCCCCACTCTGGAACAAAGACTTCTAAGCCAGCAGATCATAAGGTCACAGGAACAAGAAGCAGACATTTTGTTAGTGGATCCCTAGAGGTAATGGTGAGTGGTACCATTCCCATTTCTACCCCCTTTAGTCCTTAAACTGTGAATCCTGGCTGTGGGATAATCAGTACCATATAATGGATGCTGATTCAGAGCATATACAGTACAGCCTTCTGAAGAACCTCGTCCCAGCTGGTACTGTAATTGCATCTTTGAAAGGGCAGTCAATGGTGCTTTCAACCCAGCTGCTTCTGAATGGTGAGGAACATGGTATGACCAGTGAATTCCATGAGCATGAGCCCTTTGCCTTACTTCTTTGTCCTTGAAGTATGTTCCTTAGAAGAAATGCTGTGTGGAATACTGTGAGGGTGGATGAGGCATTCTGCAAATCTACGAAGAGTAGTTTTGCAAAAGCACTGTGTGTAGGGAAGGTAAATCCCTACCATTAACAAGTGTCAATTCCAATAAGGAAAAAGTGCTGCCCTTTCCATGATGGAAGGGGTCCAATATAATCAATCTACTACCAGGTTGCAAGATGATCACCTTGGGAAAATGTGCCACACTGGGGACACTCTTGTTCTCCACTGCTGGCAAATTGGGCATTCAGGAGTCTCTATAGCTAGATCAGACTTGATGAGTTGAAGAACATTTTGCTGAGCTAATGCATAACTTCCATCCCTGCCACTATGACCACTTTGTTCATGAGCCCATTGGAGTGGCTGAAGAAAGCGGTGGACTATTATCCACAGAACGGATCATCCTCTTCCCTTGATTATTAAAATTCTCTTCTGCTGGGGTTACTAAAATGTTGTCTGCAGATGAAGCAGAGCTTTGGTCCAAAATCCTAAAAGGCCTCTGCTATGATTCACCAATGGGGGCCTGCCAGAGGCTCCAAACATCATCCCTGTCTGTTACTGACACACTGACACAAGAACCTAAATCTGTTACATAGCCTTCTCTTGTTCTGGGCTTCACTCAGTACCAGCAGCTTTCTGAGTCACGTGCTAAATAAGCCTGAGTAACACATCCAAGGGAGGAATGTGTTGCCAATATAATCCAAATAGGCCTCCTGAGTGATGTGCTTCTTTCTTGGTTGTAGGAGGGGTCAGATGCAACAACTTATCCTTCATAGAGAAGGAATATCTGTATGCCCCACACCACTGGACTTCTACAAATTTCTGAGGTAGTGGGCTCTTGAATTTTAGTTAGATTTATTTCCTATCCTCTGACATGAGAACGCTTCACCAAGTCCAATCAATGTATCATCGATGTAATGGACCTGTGTGGTACCTTATGGAGGAGAAAGGTGATCAACATCCCTGTGAAGTAAGTTGTGTCACAGAGATGAAGGGTTTATATATCTCTTCAAGTAAGACAGTGAAAGTATATTGCTGGCATTACCAACTAAAAGCAAATTGTTCCTGGTGAACCTTATAGATAAGTATGGAGAAAAAGATATTTGCCAGATCAATAACTGCATACCAGGTACCAAGTGATGTGTTAATTTGCTCATCCCACAAAACCACAAGTGTTACAGCAGCTGTAATTAGAGTCATTACTTGTTAAGTTTTTGGTAATCTACCATTATTCTCCAAGATTCATCTGCCTTCTGCACAGGTTGAGTCGGAGAGTTAAATGGGGATATAGTGGGAACCACCACTCCTGAATCTTTCAAGTGCTTAATAGTGGTACTAATCTCTGTAATCCCTCCAGGGATGAGA